ATGTTGGATCAAGGACCAGAATGACTGACCTGCAGAGAGGAATAATCTGACCTTTGACCCCGTGTGTTTTTGTTCCTGGATGCTGTGAACATCTGGAGTTCTTTTGGATTTAAACCGGTTTAGTCCGGTTCACCTGAGTGCAGCCATTTGACTCAAAATGTTCCCATTTCCATTTTCAGCTCAGAGGCTGATTCTCAGAAAATAAAAACCTTTCTGGGGATAAATGAGGTGAAACGGGTCGACTGTCCTGCAGCATCAGAGCCTAAACATCACGTTGAAGGTTATGACAACCAAACGAGCAGGAATGAGACTTTTCATTTGAAACAATAAAATGACCAAAGAGCCAATTACACGACTAAAATTAGACACAATACATGAAAACCTGGTGTAAACATGCAACGGTCTGACTCCAACAACTGCAGCTTTTTACAAAGACAAGGCCACAAACGGAACCCAACAAAACCCAAACTGTCTCAGGGGCAGGGACTAAAATGACTGAGGGTCAAGAACAGAACAAACTGAGGGCCAGGGGCTGAATGAACCAAAGGTCAGGGACCAAAAGGATTGAGGGTCAGGAACAAAACGAACCGAGGGTCAGGGGCTGAATGAACCAAAGGTCAGAGACCGAAGGGACCTGGGGTCTGAACCAGAATTAACCAAAGGTCAGGGACCAAAAGGATCGAGGGTCAGGAACAGAACAAACCAAGTGTGAGGGACTGAATGGACTGAGGGTCAGAGAGTGACAAACTGAGGGTCAGGAACAGAACGAACTGAGGGTCAGGGGCTGAACGAACCAAAAGTCAGGGACAGAATGGATCAAAGGTCTGGAACTGGCACAGAGGGTCAAGAATAGAACAGACTGAGAGTCAAGGATCGAGCGGACCAAGGGTCAGGGATCAAAAGGATCGAGGGTCAGAAATAGAACAAACTGAGGGTCAGGAACTGACACACTGAAGGTCAGGAACAGACTGAACCGAGAGTCAAGGATCGAACGGGCCGAGGGTAAGGACTGAATGAACCAAAGATCAGGGACCAAAAGGATTGAGGGTCAGGAACAGAACGAACCGAGAGTCAGGGGCTGAATGGACCGAGGGTCAGGGATTGACACACTGAGTGTCAGTAGTGAAACAAACTGAGGGTCAGGGGCTGAATGAACCAAAGGCCAAGGACTGACACTCCAAGGGTCAGGAACAGAACGGACTGAGGGTCAGGGACTTTTCTGAGTTAGTGTAAGAGAAATGAATACCCTAATCCAAAGGGGAAAAAAAACTGGACAATTACCGTAAATACAGCGCTGTGTGGCTCTGATTCTCCTGAAAAGAGAACGGGTGGCGCAGGTCTACAGGTGATCAGGCAGGAAGAGGGAGAAGAGTGGCTGTCCTGTTTGAGTAAGATGTCCACTAGAATAAAGAGAAGTGCATCCAAGATGACGAAGGTCCATTTGTCATAGTAGATGGAACAATGGGAGGCCTGAAGAGAACCATTTTAAATTTGTACACCCCAAATGAAGTCTGCCCACGTTTATTTAAAAGGAAAAAGGAGGATTTGTTCTGGTGGGGCGAGACTTTAACTACATTTTGAACAACATAGACAAGATAATAAATCTCAATGTAAAATGTGTCCAAGCGTATCTGGTATGATGTCAGAATTGGGTTTCGTAGATGTCTGGAGGCATCTTCACCCTAAAGAGCATGAACTTTGATCTATTGAGAAAGACTTTCCATTCTGGTGTAAAAATGGACTTGGACCAATCTCTGTACAGTATATCTGACCACAGCCCAGCTGTTCTGAAGCATCCGTAAAGAAACAAAACTCAGAGAAAAGATACATTTTCAGGGTTATTCTACTGATAGCCAAGAAAACAACAACGGTGAAGTGGAAGCAAACAGAACTACCAACCATCACTGGGTCCATGTAACAGAACAAATGACGGCAGGTCTGCAACTGAGAAGTGGACAAGTTTGACTGTGAGGGACATGGATGTCTGCAAGTCTGAAAACGACCCGGAACCGAGTCAAACTCCTTCTGCATGTAACTCTGATCTCAGGTCCTATGTCAAAGAATGTTGAGTTCTGTAAACAAATGAAAATAATTAAATCAAAAGTTTTAAATTAATCTCTTTATGTGACAGATTTAAGGGGGGGGGGGGGGGGGGGTCAATGATCTAATCAAAGCTCAACCTTCTTGAAATTTCTTCTTAATCTGATAAAACAAACAGGAATAAACAACTGAATCCTCGCAGTTCTTTATCTTATGGAGGCAAAGTGAGATGTTTGAAGCCAGTTAGGATTTAACTCCTTTAAACTTTAAAAACATGAAGCAACCAGCTTAAGGCAACAGAACCCCAAGACTTCACCGTATGACTCTGGCAACCCCAACTGGCTGCTCCAACGGGCCAGAAGCTTGTTGCATCAAAACCTGGAGAAGAAACAAACACCAGGCGTGTCGGTGAGCTCTGCTGAACTCGGTGAAAAACAAACAAATGACGTGAAACTAAACAGCCGAACAAATCCACCAATCAGCCGAGGCCTCAGAACCAGCAGCCGTCACGACCCGGGGAAGGGGGTATTTAAAATAAATGTGAGAGGAATGCAGCGTTGTAAACATTCTCAGAAATGCTGGCAGGATAAATTTATCTGGTTCTGTTGGGCTTGACAGAGCTGCTTGTGGTCGTGTTTCTGAGCCCGGTCCATTGTTCTGATCCAGAGAGTTTAGTCTGAGAGCTTCTGTTTCCCTCCCTGACAGACAGATCCATCTGAGTGTTAAAAAAAAAACTCAATACAGATGCAGAGACCGAGAACTGATCCCTGAGGGACGACCAGAGACTGAGAACTGATCCCCAAGTAATGTCCAGAGACTGAGAACTGATGCCCAATAATGTCCAGAGACTGAGAACTGATCCCAGAGGGATGCCCAGAGACCAAGAACTGATCCCGAAGTGACGTCCATAGACCGAGAACTGATCCCAGAGAGATGCCCAGAGACCAAGAACTGATCCGGAAGTGACATCCATAGACCAAGAACTGATCCCAGAGAGATGTCCAGAGACAGAGAACTGATCTCAGAGGGATGTCCAGAAATGGAGAACTGATCCATGAGGGAAGTCCAGAGACCAAGAACTGATCCCGGAGGGATGACCAGAGATCGAGAACTGATTCCAGAGGGACAGACTGTGGACGTTTGGTTGGAGGACGTCCAGCTGCAGGAACCAGCAGCGTCGTGTTCCAGACTGGACTTTGTTGAATGTTTGTTGGAAAAGGAACCAAAATCTGAAAAATAAAACGACGAGAGCTGATCTGACCTCTGAGGCGTAAAGCTGCTTTGTAAAATTGTAAAAACTTCTGCACATATTTAATGATGACGCCTGTTAATCATTTAGGATTAAAGCATCTTTTAATTAAAATATTTAATTTTTAGTCCCGGACCTTTGACATAAATTAGATTTTACACCCGAACATGCGGCTCCAGCAGGGAGCATGCGCCGACGCTTAGTAGCTGAAACGGAGAAAAAAAAACCAGAAAAAAAAACAATGGAGCTCAACAGGACTACGGTGAAACCCGGGCCCGTTTGGATCTCCAGCTCCAACTTTGCAGCAGAATCATTCAGTTTAAACAGGTCAGTTTCTACACCTTTAACCCCTTGAAAACAATCACAGCTGAACATGGAGTTTACCTGACAGGTGATGACATCACTGTTTGGAGCCGTCAGAACCTCTCACTGCTGTTTGGGACATAACGTCTCCGTCCAATCTAAGATATTTCTGTCTTCTTCCACCCAGCACCTCTGCTGTAGGACTGACGGTTCCATCTCAGAGGTCAGAGTTCACAGCCAGACTTCAGCTCAGTTTTCTCCTCCAAACAGAAAGCGAGGTTCTGTTTGAACTCATAGCTCCTCTATAAAACCCATATGCGAGACCATCAGAACCTTCTGATGGTTCCGGCTTGTAGCTTTCATGCAGCGGCTGCTTGTCTGAGGCTTACTTTTCAGTCTGCCTCTCATTAACTAGGGTGTCAGGGAGTGACGGACGACGTATGTGGTTACCGTGGTGACCACGATGGCAGCAGGTTTAACATCATTTCAGATCTTTATTCTTCTACAGTTCAAACATCAACGTGTCAGGGTTTTTCCAGAGATTAGGTTTTTCTAAGTTCTGTTGGTGTTTCGGGTCACATCAGAACCAAAAACTTCTTTGCAGATTTTAGTCTCAAGTTTCATATCCTGTGAGTATGCAGCTGAAAACGGACCGAACGGTGAGAATCGGGCCTTCAGGCAGAACCTTGATTAAAACCAGACCCGGTTCTGAGGTGGAACTCTTGAGCAGGAAGAAAACAGCTTTCTGATCAGCTTCACGAAAACGTCAACATCCTGGAGGCCTGCAGCGCCGCTCCAACACATCGACCAGGGTCCTGCACTAATCAGACCCTGAAAACCCAGAACCTGAGCAGCAGAACCGTTCTGCTCCTCTGTCACGGTGTGGAACGTTCTCAGAGTTCCTGCAGCTTTCAGGGTCGAGATCCAAACTGTTCCGGACAAAGATTCAAAAACTGATGAAAACGCCTGAAGTTCCTGGAAATTTATTTTTGTAAATTCACAGTAAAAATATGAAACAACTTTTAGTTTTAACTAATTAATTAGTTTTTAGTGACGTGTGCAGAAGTTGGTGTAAACCGTACGGAACCATTAAAACGAGCGACTCAGCGGTCACAGGGTCCGGATCGACCCGTCAGCACCACAGACCTGAAGACACCTCGTCTTTAAAAGTCCAGCAGTTTGTCCCACAGCTTCGAGGAATGCTCCTTTGGATCAGAACATGTCACAATAAACCCAAAAACCTGCTGAACCGCTGTGTTCTGACCCAGGTTCTGACCCAAAAAAAGCCTAATGAGTGGATGTTAATGAGAAGCTGGAAGGAGGACGTAAACACTTGGTTTTATAAAAACAACTTTATTTACAGGAGCAGACCACCGGCCCGGCCCACAAACCCCAGAGTCCAGTGGGTTCTGAGGAATGCCGTCTGTGGTCGAGTCGGGACTTTTACAGCGGACCTTCTGGACCTTTCCAGACATTTATTTAGTCTGACTTTCCCGCCGTTTAACGAGCTTCTGTTTGCTCAGAGCGACAGGTGGAGGGGGCGTCGGCCTGAGTCCGATTCGTACAAAACAATCACAACAAACAAAAACTGGACCCGGTTCTGCTTGGCCCGCCTTCACCTCCTGCCGGACTGAACCTGCACAGGGGTCCAGACGGGAGGACCGGGCTGCTCGGACACGACAGATGAACAGAAAAGTGGGAGTTCTGTCCACAGCTGTTTGCACAGCTGGATGTGTGAAGATCCGATGAGCAGCAGCTTTACGGGTCGGCGCCGCCGGGTTCTAATAGAGTTCGAGCTGCTGCTCGTGGGGTTTGTGCTGACAGACGGCCTGCGAGGTGTCAAACCTGACGATAAATTCTGAGGGAAGGTCTGAGGACGTGTGTGTGTGAGGAGGAGCTCGGTACTTCTTCTGTTTTCTGGTGACCCGTTTCTAATCAGTTCCTTTCAACGCCTGAAGAGGACGCATGTCTCCTCAGAGGACAGTCTCCGTGGGGACTAGAAGGCGTAGCGAGTGCGAATGTCCTCCAGCTTCTTGGAGACTTCTGGTGGGGTCCGGTCCAGTTCCTCCGCCACACTTTTCTGTTTGTGTGGATCCATGCTGTTGAACTGCTCACAGAGGTCTCCGTCGATCACGTTCTGCAGGAAAACACAACACACGCAGGTTTACAGTCCTGATCCAGAACCCCTGATCCAGTCCTCTGGTCTTTCTGTTAGTCTTCCAAGGATCCAGAGTCCCTGGAAGCCTTAAAGTGGTCTGGATCAACAGATCTCCAGACAACAGGAACTGAAGCTGAGAAAAATTGAACGAGCTTCTGAAAGTCTGGAGAACTGTGGGTCCAGAACCACCAACACCTCACAGGAAGTCTGGATCTGGATGAGTTCTGAAGCACCCTGCCCCTTCACCAGAACCACCAACCTTCACTGGGAAGTAGTAGGACCTGAAGCTGAGATGATCTCGGCCACACAGCGGAGGGAACTCTGAGCGCATGTGCATCTCCAGATGTTGGAAGAAGTCATGATCCTGGAGGAAACAGAGGAGATGAAAACCCAGAACACGTCCATCGGGTTCAGGATCATCCAACTGGAAACACTCTGAACTGTTTTACCTCGTGGGACGTGAAGGGGACCAGGATCCCAATTCCCCCGGACAGGGTGGTGTAGACCAGAGACTCGGAGCCCCCGGGGATCAGAGTGGTCTTCTGGAGAGACAAGACCGTCTCCCCTACATGGTAGTTCATGATAACTTCAGCCTGAAACACAAAGGGGACAGGGACGGGGACAGGGGACAGGGGACACCTCTGTGTTACTGAGCCCCGCAGCAGGAAGACAAACTGGGCTGAACGGAAACACGAGCCGGTGAAACCTGAACAATTACAGGAGTCCCTCGCTACGTCGCGGTTTGACTTTTGTGGAGTCGCTCTTTCACGAATTTTTAAAGTAAGCTTGTGCACGAGAAAAAATAAATAAAATTGTGCACGACACGATGGTCAACTTTAATATTAATCACGATTGGGACAGTACGGGATACAGTAAAAGTTAACGGAAAAAACAAACTTCGGACAGGCGCCGCCATTTTGTAGTTTTCTCTCAATAAGCCTGCACTGCATCGTGTCTGTGCCCGGGCCGGGTCGGTGTCGGGCTTTTGATGCCGTTTTACGAATCATACAGCACAAATAAAACTAAATAAGAATGCACAATATAAATTGAGTTAATCTACTTGTTGAGGAGGAGGCAGGTCCGACCGTCCGGTTGAAAGAGGTAATAAATGTTCTGTTAAGCTCAGATGGATCAGCTGATCACCGGCCACACGCGTCTCCGCACCGTGCCGTCATCTGCAGCGAACAAAGTATCTGAAGCTACAAAAGCCGAAGCGAGCAGCGCGTTCAATTAAAATAACCTTGTTCTATATTTTTCCAAATGATTTTGCTCTAAAAATATTTTGTTCATCTGTGTAATAACTATGTTTACAGTTGATTTTTAGGCTATTTGTTTTGTTAAGGTCCATTTGGTGAAACGAAATCTTGTGTCTTCCTTTCTTTGAAATATGTTTTTAAAACTATCATGTCAAACTGATTTGCTTACAGTAGCAGTACTTTAGCAGTAAAAGCTTAATAAAAAAAATAAAAAAAAATTTTTTGGGGGGGGGGGGGGGGGGTCTGGCCTGTAATTACAGTTAAATGATCGGGTTGAGTTCAGAAAAAAATGGCTACGGGCTGGGGACGGATTTTTTAGGCCCAAATGCAACTCTACTGTAACGCCACTCAAAAGGACTACCTTACCCAGAAGCCAACAGTGCTTCCAGCCATTGCCTTCTTCTATAATAAAGGCAAAAGTTTTGATCCGATCCGAAAAATGTGGTCCTTATTCATACAGTGACCTGGGCGCCCAGTGGATCCAGAGAGCTGCACGGAACCGGACTTCCAGATATATCGGTCAATCTGAGTGCCGCCCACCATCCCACGAGGCCTCCTGAGTGGGGAGGCGCTGCCTGGAGGCCCGGCATTCTCTCCGGAGCCCACCGTGTGGACCCGTGTTGGCTATCTGAAGGTCCGGCTCCCCCCAAAAGCATTTTGGTGCTCAAAGGAGAGCCGACCAGAACCGGCAGGGTAGGTCTGCCGAACTGGAACCGAGCTGGACCGGAACCGAGCTGCTGTGTTCTGCAGAGCTGGTGGTAAAATTTTGCGGTACAGTACATGTTTCATACATGTTGTTCAAATGATGTCGGTTTAAGAGTTTAGAACATTGCAAGAGTGTGGGAAGGATTTATTTATAAAGCCTTAAAATATTTATAAATACTAAAATAAATATAGCGTTCCTACTTTGCAGATTTTCACTTATTGTGCGGCGGGGGGGGTCTGGACCGTAACTGTATAAAAAAAAAAAAAAAAAAAAAAAAAAGAGTTCATGTGTTTATTTGTACAAAACCTGAATCCAAATGCTGAAGCGGTCCATTTTAGGTCCAGCTTTGCTGCTGCCGCAGGACCTCAGAGGTTCTGATGAAGTGGTCCTCATCGGGACCACCTCTGGAAAAGCAGCAGGTTCTGGAGGAGGTGTGGAGCAGACAGGTGAAGTCCAGACCTCAACCTGATTAAAATCCAGTAGCTAAAAGTAGCTCAAGACAAAACCAGGTCCAGCAGCTGAAGCAGGTTTTACAGAGGACAAGGTTTGAGGGAATTATTTGCGATCGATTAATTTATTTTTATAGTTTTTGTTGTAAGCACGAGTTAGTCCGGGCACACTTGATGAAGCTTCCAGATGAAGCTGAAACATTTTGATCTAGGAACGGTTAAACAGAACAAAGATGTTTGGTTAGGGGAATGATGACTCAGCATCTTGACTGTTGAATAAAATAAAATGTCAAAACAAAAGAGGAACGCTTCGGTTTTAATCCAGGACGGTTCCGAGCCGTCAGGATGATCAGAGCTCCTTGGCTGGATGGGACCGACCACACTCCAGTGGGGCGTTCACAGGAAAGTTCTCCAAACGAATCGAAGTGTTTGGAGGTAAAAATAGCCGAGGAACGCCGTGTCACTAAGAATCCAGGACTTTCCCGGTGTGTGTGCCACCTCAGCAGTTTGTAACGCCGAGCGCCCGGCTGCATCTGCTGGAGGTTAAAGCTGTGGTTGATGAAGATGAGGCAGAGGAGGTCAGAACATTAGGTCTGACTCCTGGACTCCTCTCGTACTTCAGCCCAGGCTCAGACCCAAACCGAACACACGTCTCTCTCAGGTCCTGGTTGGACCTCGTTAGTCCCTTCTAACACCCCGGGGTGAGACGTGACACGCGTGTGTGTGTTCACTCTGAGAAACATGCACACTCCACAGAATAAATAAACATCTTTAACGGGTCAGGAAAGCTTTCTGGAAGAAGGCTGAATGATGTTTTACCTTCTGTGAGGCTCCGTTGAGAAGACCTCTGTCCCACAAGGCTTTGTTCCCTGTGGGGTCTTCATCCACATCATCACTGGTGTTGGGAGGAAGACGCACCTGAGAAAACAGTTAAAACCCATTTATCTAATCCCTCAATCCCCCAAAGCTCTCCAGACGGTTCAGAAGTCCTCCAAGAGAGGCACCTATAACTCTTTACAGAACCATAAATATGCTGGGAGGCTCGTGCAGCTCAGAGAGGAACGACTCGTTTCAAGCCCGGAGCATCAACCTACGATGCTGATGTTGCCGAACTTGTCAGCAGAAGCCATGGTGTCGTAGTCGAGCAGGCAGGCCGTCGTCACCCAGCGGGGGTACGTATCGTCCGCGAAGATGATGAGCTGGTTCTCGTTCCGGCGGTACCGAACCCAGAAGAGACTCTCCTGGACGTCGGAGATGATGACCCGCTGACCGATGGTGTAGATCCCCGTCACCAGGTTGGGAATGTGCTGCAGAGGGAGGGGAGAGTCGGGCACCAAACTTTTAAAAACATTCACCGAGTTGAAAAGCACAAAACATGAATTAGTTCAGAGTATGTGGCCACTAGGGGTTGAATCGACTGGTCCACTAGTCGATTCTAGGACATCTTGCGAGTTAAAGTGCACGTCGACTAGTCGCAGTCGCCACCAGAGCGGAGCGGGCGGTGTTTAGATTTGTCATTTCTAACCCAGGCCCGCGCACGGCCCAAGCCGAGCCAAAATAATGTGCTGGATGGGCGGGCCGGGCTTTTGATTGCGTTAGTGGACGCGCGCGGTTGACAAACCAATTTGGATCACCAGCTGCGCGGTGCCGGTTGAAGGAGGTACAGAAAAGTCCAGGTGGATCACTGCCAGTGACCCACCTGCAGCTCAAACAGACCCAGCTGCTGTGTCAGCAGATGCACGCGGCCGATGACCGTTCATAACTATAAGAACTATAGTATAATAAGGTGGATTCCACCACCGCCCGCCCCGCTGTTTTAAATTTTCTTGTAAATTTAATCCATGGTGGTGGAATTAATAATAATATTTTTTTAAAAGACTAAAAACAGCGGGGAGACCGCTGCTTTGTTTTTCATGTGCCGCACGTTTCTTTCACTTTTGCAGCTTAATAATAATTTTGGTTTTCCTGTGACTTATTTGCAGTATGATAAATGGTAGAATAAATATACGCTCCCGATGTTTTGTTGCTCTTTATTTTGTAAATAATAAATGACTTTTTGTTTTGAGTGAATATGATATAGCGTCTTGAGTTCCTATGACCGAACAGCGACTAATCGACGTGGACTCGACTTTTTTCATGTTGAAGTCAACTTTTAAAAATATTCATTCAACCCCTAGTGGCCACAGGCTAGCAGGAAGTCTCAGTCTGGTTGTTGAAGGTGGAAGATTGAACAATTAAAAACATTAAAACCAGAGGAAAAGGCAGCACTTCGGACATAAAGCAGTGTGCGCCACCTCTCTGGGAGATGAACCCTGAACACGGTAAAAAGCGGGTCGTCTGTTCCACTTCCTGCTCTCACCTTGTTTTCACATTTACGCAGCAGCTTCTTTTTGCCGAGGTCGTAGATCCTCAGCAGCTTCCCGACTCCGACCAGGATGCGTCCCTGGAACGGGGCGATGGCCAGTGGGACGTCCTCCACGGGGGTCTGGAGACAAACGATCCAGAGAAAACTGATGTCAGAAGAACTTCAACAAAACCAGCGTATCTTTGTTATTTACACACAAAGTCCAGATCTGTTCAAACGTTTGTAGTTTTGTAAATGGACTGTACTTATATAGCACCTTTCTATCTTATTTCAAGACACTCAAAGCGCTTTACAACAATCTGTGCCTCATTTACCCATTCATACAGCTCTATACTAGACCTCTACAAAGCTAATTGAACAAATCATTCTAAAAGAGACTCATCAGTGCTTTAGATCACATTCATGCACTGATGGGACACACATCAGAGGCGATGAGGGGTTCAGTGTCTTGCCCAGGGACACTTCGACATGCGACTGCTGGTGGAATCAAACCACCAACTCTCCCATTGAAGGACGACTGCTCCAACCACTCAGCCACAGCCGCACCTTTTGTAGAGGAGTGTTTTTCTGGACTGGACTTGGGAACAGAGAATGAAGTAAACCTAAATGTTTTTGATGAAAGATGTTCAAGCGGAGGAGTTACACTGTGGAGAAGAACAGCCGGATGATGTTTTCTGTAAAGCTCCTGGAGAGGAGGGAGCAGTTTCATCACCACCAGATGCAGTGGAGGAGCCAGGGGGGGCCCCAATGGTGGCCTTGACCCCCAATAGATTAATCTTTAGCCACCCAGCTCATTTGAGGAAACTATACTTTTAAGCAACATTAAAACTAGAAGGCTGTTTCCTCAAATGATAGGGACGTTAGTTTACATATATGTATGGTGGCAGCCATCTTGGATTTTGACGTGGTGACTCACTTTTCGATCGCGACCTTTCTTAAGCCTAGATGCAGCTGCACACCAAACGGGTCAGTGCCTCGCTTCTTTCTGAAGGAATCATGCTCATAACATGGATGGAAGGTATTTCCAATTCTCCCTCTTCGCTCCGTGACGGGGGACAATAATTAATTTTTTAATATTTAAACAAGTTAGATCCATTGAAAGTCAGGACCGATTGACCGACCTCACTGATCAATGTTTGAATCAACAGGGAGTTCATTTAAAATTAAACGGTTTGTTTGAAGAAGGACCGGGCTCACTTCAGTCTTCATGTTTGACAACAAAACCCAGATGTGATTAAAATTTTCAGAACAAACAAACATTCAAGTGTTTCCCTCCTGGTCTGAAGTTTTGATCTGAATCAACTCATTATTTTACAGAATCTGTTCTCAATGAGTGTAAAACTTTAAACTGATTTTTTGGTCTTTTATCTCAGACAACTATAAAACGTTTAAAAATCTTTAATAATGTTTTACAAATGTTGTCCTGGCACCAGACGGCCTGTTCACGTCCGAAAACAAACCGGTTTGGGAACTCCTTCAAGTTTTTTCAGTGCTTCTACAAATAAATCAAAGTTTGTTTTGAATGAAGAAAATAAAACGGGACAATGAGCCTCAAAGCTGCAGATTCCAGATGTGGACTTCTGCAAAACAAAAAGATGCAGCTGACGACCGAGAATGATGGATCAGAACCAAGAACCTGTCTTCACTGGAACTGGATTAATCACACGACGCTTAACACACTGTGCTGCAGAAGAATGAGAAGAATCCTTTGAACATTTGTCCTCGAAGTTCATCTGCAGATGGTAAAGAACCCTCCACAGATCTTAAGAACGTGAGCAGCACGGGGGGGTCAGAGGTCATCGTGGTGTGAATACTGATTTCCAACTGAGCTGTGCGGAATCAAAACTTCCTGTTTGTATAACAAAGTGCACTGTGTGTGTGAACACATGGACCCAAACATCTGATCTGGTGAGGTTGTGGGGAAATTCCTCCAGCTGGGTGTGAAATACGGTGATTCATCATAAATCCCGCTGCTCTCCCACATCACGTAACAAAGAGCTGATCCAAGCTGCTCGTCTGTCATTCCCCTCAACACCTCCGACACCACCAGCCGGTCTTATGGGAGTGTTTGTCTCGAAGATGTCAGGGGGGTTTCTGAAGCACCGCTCCCTGTCTGCGTTACTCACACAGCTCACTGAACAAACACAAACAACCGGACGGACCGTTGTGGACGAAGAGGCTGAGAAACGGACACGCTGGAGCCCGTTTGTTAGGACGAACAGAAACGACAGACGAGAAACAATACATTTTGTTGCCAGACCCACCTTATGAACAAACTCCAGCTTCTCTCCTTCAGCGTTGAGACGATACGTGTAGATGAAGCCCCCGCCCACCGACCTCGGGTTCAGAATCATGTCTCGGGCAACTCCAACCAGGACGTACCAATCATCTCCCGTGTTGGCGAAACGACACACGGTAACGCTAAAAATCATTCAGAACAGGAAACATTTAAGTTAGATACCAGTTCTGAAATTACAGAAACCCTAAGAGAGAAAAAAAAACTTTTTGAAAGGGGGGTGTCTCATTTTTAAAGTCCAATCAAAACTATTTGTTTCTGACGTAGACTTCCTGTTTCCCTTCGATCACGTCTAAACGAATAAATCTGCCTCCTCTCATCCCAAACAGAACAAAGTCCAACTCCGTGTTCTGGATCCGGCTCACCTGAACGCAGCTTCGTTCTGCTCCAGCTGCACCTGGTCCAGAGTCGAGCCCTGGATGGGGTTGACCAGTCGCACCAGCGAGGCCCACTGACCCGCTCCGGCTTTGGGCGAACCAAAAATGGCCTCGGGGAGATTCTCATTGAGGAACGCCGCGGCCATCTCTGCAGCCAGCTCCCGCTCGTCCTCGCCAGCAGCCTCCACCATCTCCTGCAGGAGACGCCAGGAGCAGATTAGATTAATTTATTTCAACTGTTTTTTATTATAGATAAACTGTTTCAAGGCTTCAACTGTAACTGAACAACAACTGAGACACAGAGGAGCCGTTCATTTACATAACTAACATCCGGGAGTCGAACTCGGTTCAAACGAACTCGACTGTTTTATCTAAGTTTGAGCTTGAATACGATCGACAGACGCCCTCGGCTCTTTCTCTTAGATGCTTTGCGATTAATTAATCACTAATGTTTGGCTGAGTGGTTACACTGAATACTTTTGAAAATCAGAGCGTCAACATCCTCAGCTTTGTGGTTCAGACACGTTGCCCCTCTGTTCACAGTGACGTACCTAAAACCATTCAACCAAGCCACTAATCGGACCGGCAGAACGCAGTCAGCTCCGGGTTTTCCCGTTTCATGACTCAGAATGACAGCTCAGATGATCAACTTTAAAGGAAACTTTTTATGAATGTACTTGTAAAAAAATAAACGTGTTTTCAGCTCTGGTTCTGACCAGCTCACCCATAGTCGGGTTTACTTAAACAGTTTACGCCATCCTTGATGGCAACAGTCAACAGAACTTTTAACACGGCTTCTGATTTTAAAGTTTCTTTAAAAACAAACCGCCAGTAAACAAATAATGAAAACCTGGAGTGACAGTGATTACAGTTTGTAACGATAATCTGATGAGACAGATTAAATCAATCGATTCTCCGGTTCTAAACTCAAACCTCGGCCATCTGCTGCTTCCTCTGAGCCTTGGTGGTCTCGGTGTAGGAGTTGTGGTCGGTCTCGATCAAGACGAGGTTGTTGGTCTCTGGGTGGATCACAAACCTCCTGGGAGTGTACTGCAGAGGGAAGGCCACCTGGTTGAAGACGGCTCCCAGCTTCTCCAAAGCCAAAATCCTGTCAATGAATTCAAATTATCTGAATCGTTTTAACCGGAGAGTTTCAGCAGAGCTCGACGGATATGTTCTGTCTGCCAGGTGACCACCACCAGGACAAATCTGTGTTGGACCAACGCTGACCAAATGTGGAGCTAAGAGCGCCCGTACCTCAGAGTGTTGGTGGAGATGGCCACGATGCCTTCGGGGCACTGCTCCGAGGCGAATCCTGAGGCGTACTCCAGAGTCTCGTAGGAGAGCGGGGTCAGATGGAAGCGGGACTGATACGAGTAGCTGAGCCACGATCGGCTGGACATGGCCAGCACCTGTCAGCAGGAGCAGAGACAAACGGTCACGGCTGCAACAAACGTGTTAACACAAAAACACACTAAACCCTGCACAGGGCAGACCAGGGGGAGGGGCTTCACAGGGGGTCGATGCTGCAGGTTCTCCAAGTATAAACCATTAACGTCCCGCAACTCCGTCAGACCTCAGTATGAATCCAGTCGGTGGAGGTGAATCAGAACAAGCCGTCCACTGAGCCCCTCCCTCACAGCCGTTTACTCATCAAGTGAATAAAAACAGTTTCACTCTAATCTCCTGAGAGTTTACGTGATTCTGTAGTTTTATTTTGTAGTTAGTGTGTCTGGATTTATTTCATCCAGATTATCTTGTTTTCAGCTGTAATTTAAAGAAGAAATGTTTGAATTCAAACCGAGGGTTTTAATGACTGGTGGTAAAAATGTTTTCATTACAAATCTATAAAAACAGGAGATTTTAAAAAGGACGTAAAAATGAAGGAGTCTTTAATTTTGGATAAAATAAATCCTGTAAACTGTTATGACACATAAATAAGATTAAAGTTAGAGAATTTCATTTCATTTATCTGTATAAATACTGACGAGAAAAAAATCTGGGGGGAAAAAGAAACCAACATATTTATAATTTCAAGAAAATATTGGAAAATATTGGATTAGCTTTTAATTAGAACTCCAGCAGGACGTTCAGTTTGTGGCAAGTTTTTTTTTAATTTATTAAAATATAGGTCCATCTCTTCCTTTTGGACACAGAGTCTTATCCCATCCCACCCTAACAGTGAATAAACACAACGTACGGCTTCCTGTCCCTGCATCCGAACTCTGAAGAGTTTGACCGGTCTGGAGCCCAGGTAGCGGGTTCTGGTGTCAGACAGGTCACCGGTCACAGGGTCCAGGACAGTCCTCAGCAGCACACCGTTCTACAAAACACACAGATTTCGCATTAAATCCTCACAATCACATTAAAAAAATAAGAACCGTTAGAACAACAAAAAGCTTTTATAATGAAAAGACAAATTATGTTTTTGACCTTTAACTCAAAAATGTCTGAAGTTTAAAAGAACAAAAATGATTTGAAGCCGTGAACAGAAGGTTCAAAGTTTTAGTTTTTAATCAGGAGGAAACCAAACTAATTGATGAGGGTTGTTAGTATTTGACAGCTGAGCAGTGGGAACCAATGTTAAACAGACGTGTTTCAGGGGTAGCTCAGACTGTGGCACACTCTAGATGTGGAGCTGAAAGTTAGATCTTAAAATCTTTTAAGTCTGTGTGGGCTGATTTGTGAGCAGAGATTCTGTCTTTGAATGATCTGTGGAGTCATCCTCTTTGTCAATTTCTGGTATCGTGGACGTGATTGTTTACATTTCTGAATGAATAGAAATCTAAAGCATATCAATAAAAACCACCCTAAGGGGTTGATGGGAGAGTACCTGCAGGCCGATGTTGAGGTAGAGGAAGCCGATGGTGCCTTTGTCTCCGAGTTCATCCTGTTTCTCCACCCCTCCCATCTCTACGATGCACAGACTCTCAGGCTGCGCAGGGAGAGCCTGCATGCTCAGAGGCTGCAGGCAGTCCTGTGGGGATGAAGGGTCCAACATAAATCAGACAAAATACCTTTTTCTATTTACTGAAGGACAGTTCTGAGAAACATCTGAGTAAATTCTAACATTTACACCGTCGTTAAAAAGTCTGTAAATCGTCAGCCTGCCGACATGTGGAAAACCCAGAGTTTAACAGAAGGCAGCTGGATTTCTTATCCTGAGAGAGGACGTGCTGCTTCTCACCTGGGAGGATTCTTTCTTTCAGACTAGAATGTGCGCAGAGGCATAACGGCATGACACGCCACATTTACAGGCGCTGAATTTACAAAAAACTGCAGCCCTGCACAGGAAAATAAATCCAGTTGCTTGACACATTTTTCATTTGAGGTTATCGAGATGAATTTTACAGCTTTTCATCTTTCAGCACGACACGGTGCAGCGTTTGCTCCAGCATCATCACCCCCCACGAAGGTCGCAACGTGTCATGAATTAACTAACGTCTGTGTCCCCACGTTACCAAATAACAGCCCACAGCAGATACACCCCCGACCTAAGGGATGTTAGAGAAGCCCCGAAGAATATACGCTGAAGGGAAGAGTTTGTGTCTGTGTTAGTACCAGAGGGTCCAGGGAGATGATCCGGACTGTGTTGTCCACCAGACCGACAGCCAGGAAGCGAGAGCGCTGCTCGCCAGGCGGGACGTTGGCCAGACTCATACAGACCACGTCTGCAGACATCTCCTTTCTCTCCGTGTACTCGTTCAGCTGTCCCGACTGGAGACGGAGCAAACCGCAGAGTTATAGCACATCGTCTTTTGCATGTTTTACATTCACCACGGTACCTGTGACCGGGTTTGATCTGAATTACAGAACCTGTCAGCAACTTTCTACAGACCTTCCAGTTTAAATCTCAACTTCTCCAACCTTCATATGTTCAGTCCATTTACAGTCCAAGTATGGACATTTACTGTAAATTAGAGATAATATTTATTGCAAATGTACTCAGACTGTAAATGGGCTTCAACTGTTGGTGAGGGTTTTAAATAAAAACGTGAAGCTCTGCAGTAAAGTCTACGGCCAGCGGCCCACAGCATCAGTCTGCTCACGTCGCCTCAGATGAATGAAAACAAACAGCAGGGAGTGTAAGATGTCCACAAAAACTCATAACATCTGCAGAGCTGCTGACTCATTAAACTGACTGAGGTGCAGGAAACGTGGAGAATGTGAGGAAACATTTTAACGCCAGATTTAAACACACGTAATTTCAGATGTCTACTTCATTCAGGACACGCAATAAGGCTGAAATTTTTTTTTTATATATATATATAAGTATAATGTGGGCGTTTTCTCACCGGGTCCATCTCAAAGTAGACCAGCTCTCCTCCTGTCAGGGCGATGACCACCTGCCGCTGGTTCACGGCGCAGCGGACGATCGTTTTCTTTCCGGGAGTTTTCCACTCGTTCACACGCTTGTCTGCTCGGATGTGCCGGATACCGTCTGGATAAACCTGGAACCAGAGGGGAAAAGATGAAAATTAAAAAAAAAGAAGCAGTCTGTTTCACGGCGTAAACACAGGCTGCAGACTTCCCCCACCTGAACGAGAGCGTCTTCACCCAGCAGAGAGCAGGAGAGGGTGGGCGTGGTTCCCAGGAATCCGGAGTCTGTCACTTCCTCTACGGTCTCTCCGATGGACAGAACCAGGGTGGCGTTGACGAAAGACACGATGATGTAGGCGTCAAACTCATCTGGAGGGACAAGAACAGACCAGGAGTGTCACCTCCTCTTTCTGAGCGTTCAAACGTCTGTCCTCACATTCAAAGTGCACGTTTATTTAAGACACTTCGCCTTCTTTGTTCCTGCTCCATTAAACGGGGAAGTTGAAAGGGTTTCTGTGAAAAGTTCAGAAGCAGTTAGCATCTTACCTGTTGGAGATAGCTCTTTGGACAACTTTATTTTGAAGCGTTTAAAAGTGACAGGACTGATGAGCTAAGAGCTCGTCTGAACGTTTGAAATCAGCTCGGGTTTCATCTCGACTCAAACTTTTACACCGACGTCAGTTTCACATCACACGGTTATTTTGGCAGAAATGTTGAGATGTTCCTGCAGGATGTGCTACTGCTGGCTGCTGCTGTTAAATTTTGCTTTTGAAAGGACAAAAAAAGATTTGTGTTCACAAGAACCGCTATAAAACTTTGGACGGTGAAGTGGTTTTAAGAAAACCCTGATCCAGGTCCTGGCTCTTTAGCTCATCAGTCCAGTCAGAATAAAACGTTTCTCCAAACAGAGCCATCAACAACAGGTAAGATATTAACGGCTTGTAACCTCTCCACAACGCCTCACTTCAAACTGTCTGAACTGTCCCTTTAAGTTGTGTCTTGCTTCGAGTCAAAAACAAAATGAAATTATAAATGAAACTGATATTATCAGGACGGGGCCGATCGAACCTTCGATGTGTCTCCGTACGGTCCAGACAGCGTTGGGGTTACCGGGCAGCTCGGAGACGGCCATCTCCGACACCTGAGGGGACGAGAGAAGAAGAGAAACTTCGGTTCAGGTTTCTTACGGAATCTAAATCACATCAACTTTGATCAAGACAATTCTAAAATTGTTGAAAATAAAAAATGGCGGTTCCCCCTCCTCGACTGAAAATAAAATACTGCTTTACAGATTTATTTTAAAATGTGAAAAATACTGTTCATATGAAATGGTTTTTGTGGGTTAAAAAATTACCAGAACGTCGCCAAGTTATTTTTTTAGTTCCTGATAATTCTTGGGAATGTTGTTTAAAAAACACTTTTTTTAAATAGTTCAGATTTACCCGTAATTTTCTGTTTTAAACTCAGACAAGACAGAGGTTGTGTTTTTTGGACCTGAGCATCTTAGGAATAAACTTTTCAGTCTTTCACTTCCTCTGGATGACAGACGTTTGGCCTCCAGTTCTAAAGTTAAGAATCTTCGTGTTTTTTCATCAGAATACGTCTTTGAACCCCCACATTAAAAAAGTTACCAGAATCGCTTACTTGATCTAATTTACCTGTTTGTAATTATTTCTATCTTTACGCGTTTTTAGTCTTTCCTCCTAGAGAAAGTAAACCTGGACCCGTCATTCTGTGTTCGTTTCTCCTTCCTGTCCTCTCAAACCCAGCCAGTCGACGCAGAAGGCCGCTCGTCCTGATTCTGCTGGAGGTTTCTTCTTGTTATAAGGGAGTTTTTCCTTTCCACTGTCTCCTTTGTGCTTGCTCAGGATGGGAGACTGTGACAAAGTGAACGTCAAAATCTTACTTCTAACCTACAAAAGCTCTCAAAAACCTAGCTCCATCTTATATTACAGATCTTGTTGTCCCAAACTTTCATAACAGAGCACTTTGCTCTCAGACTGCAGGTTTAACTTGTGGTTCCTAGAGTTTCCAAAAGTAGAATGGGAGGCAGAGCTTTCAGTTCACTTTTCAGCCCCCCCCCCCCCCCCCCCCCCGCAACAATGATGTAGCGCTAAGCTAGCAGTGTACAATACAGGCGCACTATGAAACGAGCTACAGAGGGCGCTCAGTTTCCCATCTCTCCTCCCCGTCCCACACGAAAACTGTCAGTACAAAAATATGTAAAATAAACCCTACACTTTGCTTTCAGGCTGACATCAGAATGTTTGACAGACTCTTCAGGCTTTAGTCAGAGAAGAGACATGAAAACCTCATCAGTTTCTCAGCCAGCAATGTGTGTGTGTGTGTGTCTTATGTAGGATGAAATCGTGTGTGTACCTCCAGTCCGTGTCGAAGGACCCTCAGAGTGGACCTCGATCCTCGTCCACAGGCTACGTACAGCTGAGGTGTGTCTTCGTTGGCCAAGTCAGCGATCTGATGAGGTTTTAAAAACATTTAAAATCAGACCTAAATTCAGTTTTTCTTTGTTTTTTTTTCAAACTTTGAGTCCTAACGAGACACACCTGGCAGGACATGATTGGTGACAAGTTCTCTTGTTCGTCCACCAGAACCAAGTTCTTCAAGGGCCGAGGCTGAAAGAAGAAGGTGTCGCCCTCCTCCAGCGGCATGGCAGAGGAGAACTCCGGCTCCTCGTCATCATCACCCAAATGAGCAATTTGGTAAAGGTAACTGAGGAGGAAAAAAACACCGGCTGTCAAGACCCGACAGGAAACGATAAAACCTGCAGGAGCAGCTTTGACACTCACTGATTTCCAAACTCTGAGGCCACAAACAGGAAGCCGGTCTTCAGGACACACATGGCTGCTGCCACAGGGATGGTGTCGAAGTATTTCAGCCGGATTTCTGTCACCTGAAACACAAGCAGCACTCATGACAGGTTCTTCCAACAGGATCAGTACCGGTAACATCCAGGAGGAGGAGCCTTGCTCACCATTTCTTCATCAGTCTCCAGAGTGACCTTAAAGATGTCCCCCTGCTCCGTCTGAGCCAGGAAGAAGAACATGGACTTGGTTTTGTGGGTGGCAGAGCAGACGAAGATCATGCCCCGCTCTGGGTCATCCAGGTCATTCTGAGGAACAACATCGTGACACAAACAGAATTTTAGTAGTCGTGGAATAAAATCCTCACCGGTCGGTGTGTCGCTCGTCAGAACAAACTAAAAGATTAACTTCACCCTGCGGCGGGGGATAGGACAGCGAATGTCAGGCTGGTCTCCAAAGTTCTTGTAGGTGATGTAGTTTTCAGAGCAGATCAGAACTCCACTGGGCCCATCAGAACCACCAGGAACTGGACAGACACACAAAGGTTCCAGAAGCGAACATTCAGTTTAATTTCCTGGTGATGAAAACGGTCTTTAAAACAACAACAAACTCCAGTTTGATAAAAAATATAACACTGAAAGTGTCTGAAGTAAAGATTTGCATCTAGGATCAAAGCAAACAGTGATGAACAGATTCTCCTGCAGCTACGTTCTGAGAGGAAGAGTCTCTGTGGATTGTTTAATTAAAAACAAAACAGAGCGGCGCTCACACTGTGATTTGTTGACCCGAAAAAATTTTAAAAGATGACCTTTTAAAACCTAACCTTGGTGTAAAAACATGCAAACAGTTTTAGCGAGAAGGTCAAAGGTCATGAGTCGCTGAAGAACTGTTTTAAAGTCAGAGACTGGAGAAGCAGCAGGCTGAGTGGAAAAACCTCTTCTTCTTAGAAATATTGTTAAAATCTCATCTCGTTCTTGAGGACCCAGGAGTAGATGATGAGATTAAATATAAACGCCGGACGAGACAATCATGTCATTTAGATAGTTCTGATGGCTCAACAGCTTCAGAACAGATCCACACACGCCAACACGTGTAGCATCCATGTTTCCTTTGGGCAGCGACGGCTCAGTGGTCAGCGCTGTTGCCTCACAGCTGGAGGGTCCTGGGTTCAATCCCCGGTTTGGACCTGAAGTCTTTCTGTGTGTAGTTTACATGTTCTCTTCATGTTTGTGTGGGTTTTCCCCAGATGTTCTGGTTTCCTATCACGATCCAAAAACCTGCATGTCAGGCTGCCGTCAGGCCCAGGCCTCCCTTACAAGGAGATCTGATCTCAGTGAGATTTGCCTGGTTAAATAATGGTTAAATAATGGTTAATAAATAATAATAAATAATAAACAGCACTTCTTCAGAACCGTGGACTGTTCACTGTGGAGTCTGATGGAAGTCCAACAATGTTCAGTCAAGTCATCTGGACTTTTTTTTTTTGAGAGAGAGACAAAACAATGATGGAAGTCATATTTAAATTAGATTCTGAACGACAACAGAAACATCAGAGCTGAGGTGAACGTAGTGCAAGATCTGAGGAGAAACACATTATTTACCATGTGGAAACATAAACTTTACATTTAAAGAGGATGAAGATGATTTTTGTTCTCCATCTGTCTAGCTGTGTGTCCATCAAGTGTTTGGGTTCCACCCAGACTAAATATGATCAGACTGCAGCAGGTACCTCAGCCTGATCCTCAATTTATAAAACATAAGTTCTGGAACATCCGTGTCTGAATTCCTACCAGTGATGAGGAAATTTCCATGTTCCTCCAAAGCTTCGCTGTACTTTCGGACCACGTGGTTCAGGCCCAGATCCAGCTCGTAAAAGGTGAGAGTTTGTTGTGTGTTTGCAGCAGCTTCTCCTGTTGGGTCGTTGTCCGCTTCCTGGAAACCACAGCAACCTTTTTATGAGTGATCAGAGGCGATTAAAGTGCGCTGAACACGTTCAGGATGATTCGTGAAGATTAAGATCAGAGGTGTTGAATCTTTCTCCAGAGGCAGTCAGAGAAGAGACATGATGAACTCATCACTTCATATAAAAACTCTTCTGCAGTTTAACTTGTCCTACACGTCCAACCTCAGTTTTTCATGAACTCACCTCGTAATCCATTTCCAAGCAGGCAAACATTGGATTTTCAAAGCCGACATCGACTCCCACCACGTGATAGACGAGCGTGTTTGCTTTGTGAGCTTCCAGAGGAGAGGAGATGGTCAGCCTGGCAGCAGCATCTCTGTTCAGAATATAAACCAGCTTCTGCTTCTCTATCGCTCCTAGAGGAGAGGAGAGCACATTTCTTTAACTCGTCTCGGTGTTTTATGAAACTTCCCTTCGGCGATCGGGAGCAGGAGATGGAGTTTGACAAACGTTTCCTATAAACGCTCACCGATCATAACGGCTCGGCCTTTAGGGTCGACAGCCAGGAACTGCCCGGGAACGATGCGCCGGCAGCCGCTCTTCCCAAACGTTTCCTGGTGGATCTTCTCAAACTGGTTTTTAGACGGATGATACTCCAAAATGACGATCCGACCACTGTCACTTCCCACAACGATGTAATCTAGAAACAAGAAGAAACAGCTTTAATCTCTGTGTGCAGGTTTACAGACAAACACCAAGTAGACTAACGGACCTTTGGTTCCTCCCGTGAGTCTGAACGCCATCAGGGACCTGATGATGCCGAACACTTCCATCGTGAGAAGAGTGTGCACCTTGCCCGTGTTGGCATCTGGACGCAGCAACTCTAGGATCTTTCCCCTGGAAACAGCAATCTCCTGCATCTTGGTTCCTACCCAAACACAAACATGATATTAGATGGTTCTGGTAAAACATAAAGGATGAGCTTCTGAGATAAATTAGATTTATACAGATTATAAAAAGGGTTTTCTACAACATGCACAAAAACCACCAGTGAGGTTTAATAACAGTCTGTTAGTCTGAGTTTAGTTTCTGTGTGTGCTGCTCTGAGCTGACAGCTCATACAGTTAGTTCACCTTTTTTTTTCTCTCTCGCTCTCGAAGAAGACAGACTCTCTCTTTCCCTCTCCTGCCTCCCCTCCTGCTTTTGCTCTTTGTTTTTGTGAAGCTTTTTGCATACCTTCCGAATTGCAAACTATGGATTTGTTCAGCTGGTCTCTCAACGCAACTGATCAAATGTTCTCACAAGAAGACAGGGTGAAGGAGAGCCCTCTTCTGGGAAACATAACTGGATTTACGATATCTGGATTCTGCTTTTAGGAGTTGGTGGAAATCTGGATTGTCGACAAATTTGAAAATGGCAGCAGCCGTTTGAGCTGTCTGGAATGTGTGTGCCGGGCTTGGCAACACTCACACTGTGTGCGAACGATCTGTGGACCTGTATCAGAGCTGAGCAGGCAGGGCTGTGGAACTTTGTGGCAGTGTTCACAGACAGTTGGAAGGAAGAGATCTTGGAGAAGTTGTAAGCCCGACTTCGGTAATCACGATTCAGCTGTTTGGGAGTTGCCATGACATGTACTAGCGAGACTGTAAAAGGCAAACGTGGAAATTAAGAGCTTGACCTGACCCAAACAATGTTGGAATCTGAAACTGGCCTTGGAAGGCTGACTATCTCAATTTCTCCTTGGATGTTATGGAAAAAAGACACTCTGACCCCATCCTACAACCCCCCCACCTGAGAACATCTGTGGACCCTTATCAGACCCTAACATCTTTATCAGGACTATGGAACCTATCTGGAAGAGTTCATTGACAATTTGACCGTCTTGTCGCTATAAATGGCTAAATTACGTCATCTGGACCTGTTCAGAAACGGGTCCAGATGACATGATTTAGCCATTTCTGTTAATTCAACATTGTTTCTCTGTATCAGATCGGTATCGGCCGATACTAAGGCGCAGGTATCGGTATCGGATCGGAAGTGTAAAAAGTGGATCAGTGCATCCCTATGCAAAAGATCTTTTTTTTAAAACCTTGTCTCATGTTTTATTGTCTTACGGTACACTTCCGTCTATCCTTCAGACGGATGTACGGAATGAAGTTTCACTGTACTCAACTGTACAATGACAATAAAGTTGATTCTGATTTGTCACATGAAATGGGTCAGCTGTGTTTGCCTGGTGGCCCAGAACCTGTACATCCAACCCGATCGACCCACATCCGAAACATAAACGCACACTTTTTAATAAGAGCTCTGAAAATAAAACTGAAACCCAAATTAACAGAAAGTAAAAGGAGGGTGGCAGGAGGTTCACCTGAGAAGTTTCCATGGATGGCATGGCTGATGCCAGTGGCCCGCTGTAGGGTGATGTTGTAGAGAAACATGGTTCTGGTTCCGGGTGGTTCTGGGCAGCAAACTGAGTGCTCAGCCCGACTCAGAGCTGCAAACAAACAAGAGGATATAATCCAATTTTAAAGTCCACTGCTGATGACGAGACAGAACCGCGGGACAAATATCTACTTCTGCAAGACGTAAACATCCCACCAAGAGATAAACGGTGTGACACGAAAAGGCGACATCTGGCTTCAAATCAGCCGGTTAAAGTATTTAATTCAAAAATCTGCACCAAACTGTCCTTCACACAAGACCAGTTTTATATTTAGTTCATTAAATCAGACTGGTTTATTGCACACATGCATCTATAAAATGCTTTTAAGTTCCTACTTAAAAAGAAAAACAAGCTGAAGTGGTCAAACTCCTAAAAATGTTCACAAATTCAGTTTTATAAATCTTTATCTGGACAATAAAATGCTTTTCTGATTAGTTTTTACATGTGTCCAGAACTCCCAGGTTTTTAATGGACCTGTTGATTATTTAGTTTTTTTATCTGGACATGGTCTAAGAGTTTCTGATCATATAAATAAAGTGAAATTAACCATTTTATTCTGTTATAAAATAAAGGCTTAAGATGTATTTAATTGATTATATATGTGGGTTAATCTAATCCGGAACGGAGTAGTTTTTATGATGGACCTGCTTGTTGTTGGTTCATATTTTTCACATTTATCGTCTCATCGCAGCAATTCTAAGATGTTACATCTTTAACTTTCTACGTTTTACACAGCTCATAAGAAACGAGTTTTCACTACAAACGAGCACTTTCTCATTAAACTCTGTGGGTTTAATGAGAATTGTTCGGCTTTATAAAGTATTTAAACATGAACACGGCCTTTTACTGGATGTTCATACGAAGCGCCACTTTTCGTCTGACGCCTTTATCTGTCGTTTCCTGCTTTAACTCAAAACAGTTTAACATTTTACTACAATATCATGTTCATTCAGTTGCATAGAGGTTGAAAGATTGTAAAACAAAATATTTACCGGTGCGTTTATTGAGATGACTGTGATTTCAGACGGATTTAGAGTTCGATCCATTCAAAGAAAACGAACAGGAAGCTACACAGAGCAGACGTTTGGGTCCTTCTGCATTGCAAAAGACGTTTTTTTAGGTGGCCCAAAGAGCGCCTGACTAAAAAAAAAAAAAAAAAAAAACCCACACGTGGCAGTAGCGCACTGTGTCCATTAGATGGCGGCAAAAGCGTTAAAAAGGGTCATGTAAGAAATACTGTACTGTACTAAACACCAAGAACAAGACTCAGTTCAAGTCAAACTAGCCATAATTTATTCATCCATCCAACCAAAATGATCCATCCATTCAACCATAATCCATTCATCCACCCATCCATTCATTCAACCATCATCCATCCAACCAACCATCATCTAACCATCATCCAACCATCAACCATCCATCCTCCAACCATCATCCATCCAACCAACCATAATCCATCCAACATCCATTCATCCAACATCATCCATCATCCAACCAACATCCAGCCATCATCCAACATCATACATTTATCATTCAACCAACCAACCATCATCCGTCCATCCTCCAACAATCATCTGTCCAACCAACCATAATTCATCCATCTTATCCATCCATCAGTCCATCTATCCATCCATCATCCAACCATTATCCCACATAACCATCCATCCAACCATCATCCAGCCATCATCCAGCCATCATCCAACATCATACATTTATCATCCAACCATCATCCATCCAACCATCCATCCATCCATCCATTATCTTTTACCCGCTTCTTCCATTTTGGGTCACGGGGGTCACTGGTACCCATGTCCAACAGTCACTGTGCGAGGGGCGGGGTACACCCTGGACAGGTCTCCAGTCCATCACAGGGACACATAGAGACAAATGAGACAAACAACCATTCACTCTCACTCACACCTAGAGACAATTTAGAGTTACCAATCAGCCTAACATGCATGTTTTGGGTCTGTGGGAGGAAACCGGAGTATGCGGAGAAAACCCATGCATGTACGGAGAGAACATGCAAACTCCACCAAGAAAGGCCCCCAGACCGGCATTTGGACCGGCAACCTTCTCGCTGAGAGGCAGCTGCTCTACCGGTTGCGCCACCTTGCTGCCCCACTCAACCAACCATAATCAATCCATTTTATCCACCATAAATCCATCTATCCATCCATCATCCAGCCATTATCCCACATCACCATCCATCCAACCATAATCCACCCAACCATCATCTAATTGTCATCCAACATCATCCATCTAACCAATCATCATGTAACTATCATCCATGCAGCCTCTGTCATCATCCATCCATCATCCATCCATCCAACATCATATAACAATCCATCATCCATCCTTCATCCATTCATCAATCCAACCATCAATCCATCATCCACCATCCATCCATCCATCCATCCATCCATCCATCCATCCATCCATCCA